CCCGCTCCCCCGGAGGCCCCCCCGGGGGAGCTCGGGGACCTAGCCTCTACATGCTCGTCTTGCTCCTGCTCCTGGGAGTTGGCCAGGGAGTGCTGGCCGGAGCTCAGCGCGCTGCCGCCGCTGCCCGAGGCGGAGGACGGGCTGCAAAACGGGCCAACAAGAGGTGCACTGGTTAGGAGGGTCTTCACTTTGTCCCACCTAGGTGCACTGTGAAAAATGTCTTCATTACTTTTCGACATTTAGAAAAATACGATTGATAAATGACATTGGAAATACACGACAGCCAATTCTTTTTCGCCGAAGAAGACTTCCACACACTGGTAAACGAAGTATGGGTAGTGCTGAATATTTTGAAGTGCTTAAGTCCGAAGTCGTACACTTGCAAGTGGGCAGCTCGGTAGTTCTGCACTTCCAACCAGTAAATGATTAACAGAGTCGCACACATACACTTGCAGAGCATTCGAATTGAACGTTTGCTAGTGCACTAAACAAGGACAAGGGAGTTGAACACTTGCAAGTATTTAGCTTGCAGATGCATACTCTCGAGTGTCAAGCGGTTTCACACTTGGCTCGAGCCATTGTTGATCATCAATGATGATCACCAATGCATATAGAGTGAGAATAATTTTTGTAACTTTACCATTTTAATTCGTCACGCAAGAGCACTCGTCATGCAACTTTACTTTTTCCTCAGGCAAACCCAACGAACATTTTTCACAGTGTAGGGTAGGTATGCTCAGAGCTGGCCCTCCACCATATACACTAGCAATCACTCTGCAGGGTCCCCGTGTCGTCGTAACACTGCGTCGCTCCGTCTGCTGTCTGAAGACATTTCCTGTTGGCGACGCGAGGAAAGTGTTTGGCGCGCCCGAATCAAAGCCTCACGAGAAGAAAAGAATACAACAAAAAAACGAAAGAAACAAAGCCGTGTCGCGCACCGGCTGCACGTGACTCGCAGCATACAGATTGTTTTTGTAAAAGGTTCCTGCTGCTTTCCCTTTGCCTCTACATTAAATGTTACTGAGCACACTCCGCCACTGCTAATGCCGTGGTCACCTAGCATGCCAAAAATGTTGGCAGTCCTTTTTTACTGGCGAATTTTGGCCTTCTTTTTAGAGGCTGCCAATTTTTGGCATCCATGAATGCCAAAAGTTGGCCTTCTTTTGAAAGAAGAGTCGTACGCTGGCTGCGTCCACAGAAAACATTACCAGACACTATTTCCCATCAACAGGGAAGCAGCGGGGTCGGTACACGATTGAAAACGTCTCAAAGAGCGCTTTCATAAAAACTTTAGTTACATAATTACTCATTAATTACATTTTAATTACGAGGCAAGGCATTCCATAGTGCGTTTGTCTAGACACAGTGGTGCTGGCTAGTCGTTACGGACGGGAGGCATCACGCTGCTTAACACAGACTCTCTCTCTTTCTCTCTCTCTCTCTCTCTCTCTCTCTCTCTCTCTCTCTCTCTCTTTCTCTCTCTCTCTCTCTCTCTCACACACACATACACACACACGACTACCAACGTCGGAAGCTTGTTGGTCGGTGTTTCAATCCCCGTACAAGAAAAACTGTCTCACAGGAGGCTCAGACGAATTCATTCTAGAGACACCATTGATCCGGTGTGAAGGCAGCAGTCAACCTCCATTGAGTCCAG